ATCCATTTATGTTAAAGTTTATTATTGATAGGTACTTGTTTGTAGCTATTTTATTTTATTTTTTCCCCATTTTTTTATTCATTTATTATCTGTGTACGTAATTTAACATTGCTTTCCCTCCCATACATATCCCCCCTCCCCAGAGTTTTGTGTCCATTGGTTGTACTTATATGCATGTATAAAAGTCCTTCGGTTGATCTATTATCTCCCCCAGATCTCCCTACACTACCTGCTGTAATTTGACAGTCTACTTGTTGCTTTACTGTCTCTATATATATCTTTTGGTTCATCAGTTTATAATGTTCTTTATTATCCATAAATGAGTGAGTTCGTGTGGTGTTTCTCTTTCATTGGCTTATTTCAATAAGCATGATGTTCTCCAATTCCATCCAGGTTGCTGCAAATGATGAGAATTCCTTCTGTTTTATGGCAGCATAGCATTCCATTGTGTAAATGTACCATAGTTTCTGGATCCAATCATCTGCTGACTGGCACCTAGGCTATTTCCAAATTCTAGCTATTATAGATTGTGCTGCTATGAACATAGGGGTGCATATATCCTTTCTGATTGGTGTTTCTTGGGATGTATTCCTAGGAGTGGGATTACTGGGTCAAATGGGAGTTCCATTTTCAGTTTTTTGAGGAAACTCCACACTGTTTTCCACAGTGGTTGCACCAGTCTGCATTCCCACCAGCAGTGCACAAGGGTTCCTTTTTCTCCGCAACCTCGCCAACACTTGTCCTTTGTTGATTTGTTGATGTTGCCATTCTGACAGGTGTGAGATGGTACCGCATTGTTGTTTTGATTTGCATCTCTCGGATAGTGACTTTGAGCATGTTCTCATGTGCCTTTTGGACTTCCTTCTGTCTTCTTTTGAAAATATTCTATTTAAGTCCATAGCCCATTTTTTAATTGGATCATTCATTTTCCTTTTATTTAGTTGTATAAGCTGTTTGTAGATGTTGGAGATTAAACCTTTATCAGTGGTAACATTTGCAAATATGTTCTCCCACACAGTGGGCTTTCTTGTTGTTTGTTGATGGTTTCTTTTGCTGTAAAAAAACTTTTTATTTTGATGTAGTCCAATTTGTTTATTTTCTCTTTAGCTTCCATTGCCCTAGGGGCAGTATCAATGTAGAAGTTCTTTTGGCATACGTCTGAGATTTTGCTGCCTGCGGATGCTTCTAGTATTTTTATGGTTTCCTGTCTAATGTTTAAGTCCTGTATCCATTTTGAGTATATTTTTGTGTACGGTGTAAGTTGGTGATTTAGTTTCATTCTTTTGCATGTATCTGTCCAATTTTCCCAACACCATTTATTGAAGAGACTGTCTTGATTCCATTGTATATTCGTGCCTCCTTTGTCAAATATTAATTGAGCATAGTGATTTGGGTTGATATCTGGGTTCTCAATTCTATTCCATTGATCTATATGTCTGTTCTTGTGCCAGTACCAGGCTGTTTTGAGAACAGTGGTTTTGTAATACAGCTTGAAGTCTGGTATTGAGATCCCTCCTACTTTACTCTTCTTTCTCAGGATTGCTGTGGCTATTCGAGGTCTTTCATTGTTTCAAATGAACTTTTGGAGAGTTTTTTCTAGGTCAGTGAAATAAGCCGTTGGTATTTTAATGGGGAGTGCATTGAACCTATAGATTGCTTTAGGAAGTATGGACATTTTGATGATGTTGATTCTACCAATCCATGAACATGGTATGTTCTTCCATCTGTTTACATCTTCCTCTATCTCTTTTTTTCAGTGTTGTGTAGTTTTCTGCATATAATTCCTTTACTTCCTTAGTTAAATTTATTCCTAGGTATCTTAATTTTTTTGGTGGAATGGTAAATGGAATTGCTTTTTCAGTCTCTATTTCTGTAATTTCACTGTTGGTGTATAGAAATGCTATGGATTTCTTGGCATTAATTTTGTATCCTGCTACATTGCCAAATTCATTTATTAAGTCAATTAGTTTTTTAATGGAGTCTGTTGGGATTTTTATGTACAATATCATATCATCTGCAAATAAGGATAACTTTACTTCTTCTTTTTCAATTTGGATGCCTTTTATTTACTCTTCTTTTCTAATTGCAATGGCTAGTACTTCCCAGGAGTGGAGAAACAGGAGTGGAGAAAGTGGGCATCCCTGTCTTGTTCCTGTTCTTAGAGGGAATGGTTTTATTTTTTGCCCATTGAGTATGATGTTGGCTGTGGGTTTATCATATATAGCTTTTATTATGTTGCGGTATGATCATTATACTCCCATCTTGTTGAGAGTTTTTATCAGGAAAGGGTGTTGGATTTTATCAAATGCTTTTTCTGCATCAATTGATATGACTATATGATTTTTATCTTTCAGGTTGTTTATGTGATGTATCATGTTTATTGATTTGCAGATATTGTACCATCCTTGCATTCCTGGAATAAATCCTACTTGGTCATGGTGTATGATCTTTGTGATGTTCTTCTGGAGTCGATTTGCTAGAATTTTGTTGAGGATTTTGGCATCTATGTTCATGAGGAATATTGCCCTGTAACTCTCTTTTATTGAGTTGTCTTTATCTGGTTTTGGTATTAGGTGCTATTTTTATATTTTGTTCCCATGTTTCTACTTCTCTTTTTATTTCTTCTTTTTACAACAGTCCCTTTAGCATTTCTTGTATTGCTGGCTTGCTAGTGATAAATTCACTTAGTCTTATGTTATCTGTGAAGCTCCTTATTTTCTCTTCAATTTTGAATGATAGTCTTTCTGTATAGCATCTTCTGGGACTCAAGACCCTGTCTTGCATCATTTTGTATACTTCCTTTCATTCCTTCCTAGCCTGATGTATTTCTGTTGAGAAATCTTTTGATAATCTAATGGGAGATCCTGTGTAGGTAACTATCGGTTTCTCTTGCAGCCTTTAAGTTTCTCTCTCCTTGTCATTAACATTTGCCATTGTAATTACAATATGTTTTGGTGAGGGTGTTTTTGGATTCATCTTGTTTGAGACTCTCTGTGGTTGTGTGACTTTCTTCTTCCTCAAATCAGAGAAGTTATCTAACATTATTTCTTCAAGTAGTTTTTCTAACCCTTGTTCTTCTTGTTGTTTCTGAACCCCTATTATACATGTGTTGCTCAGTCATCAACTTTCTCTAGTATACTGTTGAAACCTTCCATAGTGGTTTTTATTATAGCTCTACCACTCTTCATTTCCCCTTGATTCTTACATAAGTTTCTAATCCATTTGGTTTATGAACTGAATGGCTCTTATTCTGAATTATTTTTCTGACAAGTTGCATGCCTCTATTTCATTTAGGTCATTTCCTGGTGTTTCCTTCTTTGGTTTTTTTTTTTTTGGGGGGGGGGGGTGTTATTTTGTCTCCCCATTTTTGGTCTTACCAAAGGATTCAGGTGTTGAGTCACATTGGGCCTGTGACTACAGTGGCCAGTTTGGTGGTAGTTCACATGGACACCAGGGTTTGGGTTGATGCATCGGACTTGGCCACAATTTGTGTAGTCATGGTGCCTGGAGTTGCAGTGTGAGGCACCTAGTAGGGTGTGGATGCCTACAATTGGTTGCAATGCACAAGGTTGCTGCCTCAGCTGTGGCAACAGCTAGCTTGCTGCTTGATGTACTGGGGTTGCTTAGTAGGGCTTGGCTGCTCACACTCAGTTGCAGTGCCTTGGGTTGCTGTGTCAAACTTGGCGACAGCTAGTGCAGTTGTTGCATATGGGGTTGCTGCATAAGGCTTGGGTTTTGTGCATGAACAGGTCACCTGGGGTGGCTGTGAAAGTTGTGGCTGTTTGCATGTAGTCTCAATGCTCAGGTCATGATGCTCCAGAACTCACAGAAGCCTGCAGTCAAGGAGGCTGGAGGCTCGGAGTACGTGGGCCTGTATCCAAGACAGCATATACCTGGCTGGAATTGCTGTAGGGTACTGGGTGATGTCTGAGGACACCATGGGTGGAGATGAGACGGGGCTCCTAGTCACAGCAGCTCTCCCCTTAAAGATGGTATGTTCTTTGTGACAGAGCCAGCTGCCCCAGGAGAGACTGCAGTGGTAGCACAGGCTGCCAGACTAGGGGAACCTGGTCCACCATCCCCCAAAAGTCCTATGGAATTTAACTGTCCCTCACTCACACACATACATGCCACATGTCTACATGCTCCCCTTTACCTCCCTCACTCACTCACATCTTTCCCAAAGTCAACCTTCTTTCTACATTACATTCTGGAACAGCTGATTTTTTCCTAAGACAAAGTCCCATGCCCCCCTTTTAAGGTTTTTGGTTTTTCTTTTTTTTAAATAAACATTTTAATTTGTTTGTTTGGTTGTTTTGCTACCTGGGATTCCTCCCCACTCTCTTCTTACTTGGGAGCGGGGAGAGAAACTGGCTGACAGACCCTCATTTCTAAAAAATAAGTTAAAAAAGCCAACAAAAACAAAAGGCTTTTCATAGCTCAGTTTACTAATTCTACCAAATTCCTCAGGTTTCTTCTCATCATTTATCAATGAGATATTCCTCTGGAGATGTCTTCTAAAGCCTTTTTATATTTTTATAATATTCCCAACCCACCCTAAAACAAACAAAATACAGAAGAAGCAATTCTCCATAAATGAAAGAAAAAGCATCCCTTTTAATCATGTTTCCAATTCTTTATAATAACAAAGAAATACACTACAGCAAACAAAAAATTACTGTCAAATCTTAGTTATGTTGTGCTTACACATGATATCCCCATCAAAGAAATATAAATATATAAACATATTTTCTGTTATTCTATAAACATGTTTATACAAAGCATTAGTAAATATTAAGAAATTATTGTTTGAGTGGGAGAGTATTAATAAGGCCAAAATGATATCTTTAAAACAATTAAGTATATATAAATTTTAATAGCAACTTTGTAACCAAATTTCACCTTCCTCCTTTGGATTACACTTCCTGTTGTTACTACTGTTATAAAAATGTACTTTAGGCACATATTTTAATGTCTCCATGAATTAATTTATACCATACCTTCACAGTATAATTGAAGTATTTGGCTGACTGCATGAACCGATGAAATCCATCACTTTCTCTTGTTGCTACAGTTATAACTAATAATTTATCTGCAAAGATAGAAGGAAATATCATAAGATGGTTTACTAAGAAAGAAGTTAAGTGCTCCCACTTTACAATGACTTGCACTTATGGGAATAGCATAACAATAAACAAAGATCTGTTGAAAAAATAGGCGTGTCAAGCTGGTTATACTACTGCCAAATGATGAACCAGAGCAAAATAATCATTTTAATAGTAAGAAAGTATAATAATGTTTTCGGAAAAGCACACCCTTGACAAGATTTCTCCACCCCAAAAAAATCATTTCCATAAAATACATAAAAATTTTTTATCTGTAAAGATAAAATCTCTTAGGTATTATCTAATCAACCAGCTTCACTGTCATCTATAAAAAAGTCACTGACCTATTACAAACATTACTAAGTCTGGATCCACATGATATTACTCAAAACACTAGCATGTACAAAAATAAAAGATACAACCATAAGACTGGTCTTAATATTAAAAAATAAGTTATGATAAATTGGGAGCATATACTTAGAAACAGAATCATTTTTTTTTTACTATTAATGAAAAAAGTACATAAGTCTGTAAACACAACCTTTACATCACACTTGATACTTCTGCTTTTTCCTAAAGAATAAAAGAAACATCTTTACTGATACAGCTCCTAGGGCAATGAAAATTAAAGAGAAAATAAACAAATGAGACTATCCTATCAAATAAAAGAGTAATATGCAAATTAACCATTAGTCCACTGAAGCCATGCCCCCAAAACACTCACCAGCCAATCAGAGCGAGTATGCAAATTAACCCCAACCAAGATAGTCAGAGCCACAGAGAGCAGTTGAGAGGCTTGGGTTTCCCCAACAACGGAAGCCAAGCTTTCCACACACCCTGGCCAACCTAGGCCGCCACTCAAGGCTACAAAGTTTCAATGATAGAAGTTACATAAAACCAAACAGAAATGGCGGCAGCCAGAGTGAGCAGGGGACTTGGCTCCACTCCAGGCTACGAAGTTTCAATTGTAGAAGGTAAATTAATTCCAGATACTAGGGTCTCCGCTTGAGTCGCCAGGGGCACTGGCAGGGAGGCTGTGGCCAGCCTGAAAACCACCACAGGTCCATCGCCAGGCTGCCCTATGCCCCAAGGGAACCCCCACTCTGATCCAGACACCCGTCAGGGCAAACCACCTGCCCCCACGCATGCACCAGGCCTCTATCCTATCTAATAAAAGAGTAATATGCAGATTGACCATCACTCCAACATACAAGATGGCTGCCCCCATGTGGTCAAACATCCTGCCCCCATGTGGACACAAGATGGCCACCACAAGATGGCCAGCAGGGGAGGACAGTTGGGAGGCACCAGGCCTGCAAGGGAGGACAGTTGAGAGGGACCAGGTCTGCCAGTTGGAGGTGATCAGTCCTGTAGGGAAGGGCAGTTAGGGGTGGCCAGGCTGGCAGAGGAGGGAAATTGGGGGCAAACAGGCTGGCAGGAAACCAGTTAGACATCAATCAGGCTGGCATGGGAGTGGTTAGGGATGATCAGGTTGGCAGGCAGAAGCGGTTAGGGGTAATCAGGAAGGCAGGCAGGTGAGCAGTTGGGAGCCAGCAGTCCTGGGTTGTGAAAGGGATTTCCGGCTGCCCATTTAGACCCAACCCATTGGGATTGGGTCTAAATGGGCAGTTGAACATCCCTTGAGGGGTCCCAGATTGGAGAGAGTACAGCCTGTGCTGAGGGACACCCCCCTATCCCATGCACGAATTTTGTACACAGGCCTCTAGTATCAAAATAAAAAGCTTTTGCACAACAAAAGAAACCATCAGAAAACAACTGCATGGGATAACATATTTGCCAATGTTATCTCAATAAGGGTTTAATCTCCAACATTTACAGGGAACTCACACAATTTAACAAAAGGAAGATAAACAATCCAATAAAAAGGGGGGGGGGGCAATGGATCTAAATAGATACTTTTCGAAAGAGGAGATACAGAAGACCAAGAGACATATGAAAACATGCTCAAAGGGAAAACGAAGATGAAGGCATAGACAAGTAACTAATTTATTACCTCACACAACAATTTCACAACTACAACAAAAAGACAAAATGTCTATCACCCAAAACCACAGGAAAGCTGGCTGAAAGAGAAAGCAGCACAAGCGCTGAAAAGCTGAAAAGCCTAGGTACAGAGGTACACAAATCAAGCTGGTGGTGGGCGACTGGGCACGCAGCTTTTTTCAACCAAAAGGTAAACAAGCTCCCAATCACTTTGAAATCCAGTTTCTGGGGTCACGGTGTGTGTGTGGGGGGGGGGGGGGGCAGACACCTATGGGGAGAAGCTGGTCTGTCGGCCATCAGGTCCGAAAGTAAGGGTGAATTTTTTGTAGAGGTGCATGCAGCAATCATTGTTCACTGTGCTGGAGCGTGGTGACTTGGAAACTCTGAAAGGCAGAGATAGATGATGGAAGCCATCGCTGTCTGACATGCCTAGTGATGTCCTAAGGCCCCACCCCATCAAGAGGCCCAGCCCCGCACATTCTACAAACCTGCCCAGGCTCCACCCAGCTGCTTTTGCATAATCAGCAAAAAATGCTGAGAAAAGGAAGGAGATCTCAAGCAAAAGAAATGGAGAACAAAAGACTGGATATAGAGTTCAAAACCACTGTTATAAGGTTTTTCAAGAATTTCCTAGAAAAGGCCAATAAATTAAACAAAACCTTTGAGGATATGAAAGGAAATTAAACCAAATAGAAATTAAACATACACTGACTAAAATAAAAATATTATACGGAGACCCAACAGCAGACTAGAAGAGCACAAGAATCAAGTCAAAGATTTCTAATATGAAGAGGCAAAGGACACTCCTCTGGAGAAGCAAGAAGAGAAGGGAATCAAAAAGTTGAAGATAGTGTAAGAAGCCTCTGGGACAACTTCAAGCGTACCAACATCTAAACAATGGGGGTGACAGAAGAAGAGAGAGAGCAAAATATTAAAAATCTATTTGAAGAAATAATGACAGAAAACTTACCCCACCTGGTGAAAAAAAAAATAGACTTACAAGTCCAGGATGCATACAAAACACAAAACAAAAGGAATCCAAAGAGGACCATACCAGGACACATCATAATTAAAATGCCAAGAGCAAAAGACAAAGAGAGAATCTTACAAGCAGCAAGAGAAAAACAGTTACCTACAAGGGAGCACCCATATCATTATCAGCTGATTTCTCAACAGAAACTATTCAGGCCAGATGGGAGTATCAAGAAATATTCAAAGTGATGAACAGCAAGAACCTACAACCAAGATTACTCTACCCAGCAAAGTTATCATTCAGAATTGAAGGGCAGATAAAAAGCTTCACAGATCAGAAAAAGCTAAAGGAGTATATCACCACCAAACCATTATTATATAAAATGCTAAAAGGTGTTCTTTAAAAAGAGGAAAAAGAAGAAAAAAGTAAAGGTAAGGGGCAGGGGTGGAGTGGGGACCAGGTGGAAGGGAGCTATGGGGGGGGGGAACAATTGTAATAATATGAACAATAAAGATTTATTTTTAAAAATGCTTCAAGTTACTAATCATCTGAGAGATGCAAATCAAACAAAAATGAAGTACCATCTCACTGCTGTCAGAATGGCTAGTTATCAACAAATCATAAAAGGACAAGTGCTGGCAAGGATGTGAAAAAAAGGAACTCTTTTGCTCTGCTGGTGGGAATGCAGACTGCTGCAGCCACTGTGGAAAACAGTAAGGTGTTTACTCAAAAAGTTAAAAATGGAACACCCTTTTGACACAGTAATCCCACCTCTAAGAATATATCCCAAGGAATCAGAAACACCAATCAAAAAGGATATATGCACTCCCATTTTCATAGCAGTGCATAGCTAAGATTTGGAAACACCCTAAGTGCCCATTAACAGATGAGTGGATTAGAAAACTGTGGTACATCTACACATATAGAATACTACACTGCTATGAAAAAAAGGAACTTTTACCATTTGCAACATCATGGGTGAACCTGGAGAGCATTATACTATGCGGAATAAGCCAGTCATAGAAAGATAAAAGTATCCACTCATTTGTGGAATTTAATGAACAACATAAACTGATGAACAAAATAGATCCAGTGACAGAGAAACATCAAACAGACCATCGAAGGGAAGGCTGGGGAGGATGGGGACGGGTAGGTAAGAGATCAACCAAAGGACTTGAATGTATGCATGTTAGCAAAACCGATAGAGATGCAAATGGACACTGGAATGGTCGGGGCTTTTCCTGGAGGGTGAGAGTGGCCAGATAGGGGCCGATGGGGGGGGGGGGGGGAAGGAGACATATGTAATACTTTAAACAACAACAATAATAAAAAGAATAAAAGTAACCAGAAACAGCACTGCCCTGGTAAATATAGAAGTTTTAATCTCCATTTTATACTGGATTATTATTTTCAGTCCAATGAAACACTTCCTCTTAGTAGAGCAGTAGGTAGATTTAAGGAGTCATTTCAAAATACCTATAGAAGCTATTAAAGCAAATGCCTATTAGAAAAATACATGTCTTAAAATGCATTAAAACACACACACACACACACACACACACACACACAACTGCATAAGCAAGTGCCAAGAATACTAGGACTTTTTCTTTTCTTTTTTAACCTGAGCATAATGTTGGCTGTAGCTTTGACATATGAGGTTTTTACTATATTGAGGTATGATCCCTCTATTATCACTCAGCTCAGAGTTTTTCTCAGAAAAGGATGTTGCATTTTGCCAAATGCATTCTTTGTATCAATTGATATGACTGTGTGTGTGAATTTTGTCTCTCAATTTGGCTATATGATTTATCACATTTATTGATTTGCAGATGTTGTACCACTTTTGCAAGCCTGGGGGAAAAAATCCCACTTGATCACGTTGTATGATCTTTCTAATGTAATGATGGATCCGATTTTCTAGAATTTTGTTGAAAATTTTAGCATCTGTGTTCATCAGGGATATTGGCCTATAATTGTTTCTTTGTAGTGTCCTTATCTGGTTTTGAGATT